GGCGGAGCGGCCGCGCCGAGTCCTCCTTCCCCTTCCTCCTCCTCCTCCTGCCGCCGGCCTGCTTGCCAGCTCTGCAGTCCGCAGCTGCCGGCTTGCTGCCGAGCCAGGGACTGACATCGGCATGCAGCGAAAATAACAGCGCCTTTAACGACAGGGAAAATAGCAGGGTTTTCTTGTAGGCAGTATGCTGTAAAAACCTGATTTAACTGTGCTCTTTGGGACACGGGAGCTACGACGGTGTGTTAGTGGCAGGGGGAGGGGCAAATGTGCCACACATGATGATAAATTCATAGGGTGGGATTTTAACTGAGCTCATTACCTGTAGGCAGATGAAGGTGCCAAGGGGAAGTACACCTCAGCAGTGCTGAGAGTGTATTCCTTAATTCGTGGGGATAGGCAACTCCGTTAGCTACGTGACTTGTAACTGCTTTGAGTCACTTTGGGAGCTGTGTGTTTCTTTTGATTAAAGAACTAAGACTGAAATCCAGCTTGATGCAATGTCTGTGCCGTAAAGGCTAGTTATCTCTTGGACCTGGTGTATAGTCAGGTGTGCGGGTGGATTAAGTCATGGATTAAATAAATGGATTAAAAGTCTTAGTGAATAGCTTTAAAATTACTCTGACTTTGAGGAGGATTTTCAAAACGCTTTATTTTCCTGACGTTGGCCTAATCTGTATCTTTGCCAGAGTAGTTGTGGTACTAAGTACTCCTTTGTGTGATGCTACTAGGGACACACACGCACACACACTCGCAATTGTTTACCTCTCTCTTTTTGGAAATATCTGGGCAAACATCTCTTTTTCTATACAGTTTTCTGCTATTTAAGAATCTGAATTAACCAGATAAATTTCTTAAGGCCATTCTTCTTCAGGCAAGTTTTATTTCTGTCTGGAAGCAGTCTTAATGAGTAAACTGTGGTTGGGATGAGGGATATCCTGTCTTTTGTAACAGGAGGGTGTAGATAAATGGCAAGTAAGTGATGTAGGTGATCTGAGGAGCTCTGTCCTTATTGGTAACTTAATCCTTAATTTATTTTTTTTCTGTGGAGTTTTATGTGCATAACAAGAGACCTTGCAACTGATACCCAGCTTGGGCGGTGGGGTGGGGAGGTGGTTTGGTTACCTCAGTTCCCCTCGCCCCTCCCCAGTGCATTGTTTAACCCTGCTGGAGTTGCTCTGACCAGACCCGTTGTGCGCTGCTGGGAAAGCAGATGGCCTTCCTGAGTTTCCAAAAAATCAGGTCCCTGTAAGACCTGGGGAATAATTAACACTTAAGCTTCTCAGGAGGACAGGTGTCAGTGCTGCTTCTTGCAAAAATACACCAAGCCACAGGCCTTGCCTAAGAACTGATACAGCTTGTTCCTTGTTCCCAGTGGGGTGTTCCTCCATCCCACCAGGTTTGCATATCTGAGGAGAAAAGCTTTGCATCAAAGTGGCAGGGATGTTTCTGTTTAAGGACAGCTCATATAGATAGCTGATCATCGACATTTTAAAATCTTCCTTTGTTAATTCCCACGGCAGATGCAGGGATTTTTCATGCTGCTTTGTAGGGGCTTTCTCTCAATATGGAGGCAAGAGACATCAGTGAGGGTGAGTGAGCCTCTTGCCCAAAATGGTGTTCACAGGCTGCTGCAGGTACATGTGCAGAAGCTCTTTTCTATCAAACCAAGTTTGTAAGTTGCCCCTAAACATACTTTCCTACTCACTTGTAAGGTACATAACAGAATGAGGGCTGGGGAAAGGAAAAAATTCTGAAGTACTTTCAAACCCTTCCGGATGTGTGTGTTTGTTTTTTTGTTTGTGGGTTTTTGTTTTCGGTTTGGGGTTTTTTTTTAAATCCTTTTGAAAAGGAGAAATTCCAAATTAAGCCAGCCTGTGGCAGTGTTTTTCAGCATTTCTTTTGCTTCAGCTGCATTTAAAGCCTAAGCCTCGGTGCTAATTGGAAAAGTTGGGAAGCTTGCTATGTGCTATATGCAATAGTTTCAGTATTTCATAATGTTTTAGCATTTTAACAGAGCTCTTTACTTATTACAACAAGTGTGTGATATAAATAATCATGACTCACAGTTGCAGAATTACTGTTTCATTGTCTATGAAGCTTATTTTGAAAGTGATGTGTTGCTATTGCCATTTTTCAAACAAATTTGATTTCTCCCCCCGTCCTCCTTTAGCATAACAATGTTTCTGTTATCTGAAAGATTCATTAAAACACATTTATGGCTGGTTCTTCTTTTTTCAATATATCTTTTAAGACATCCCCTTGTCTCCTGGCCTTTCTGAGCTACATCGTGCACCGTGGTATGATTCTCATCTGACTTCCTTCCCGAACAGAAGGCTTCCTCTTTTTTGAAATGGGAAGCCAACACACCAGAAATGAATAGATGCTGGAATTTATTTATTTTATCTTTTAAATTACATCTTTAAAAGGTTGGTGTTTTTTTTCCTCTTATGCATTTTTCCAGATTAGTAAGACTTTAAAAAGTAAGAATTGAAGCGAGCCCAGAACTTTGGTGCTCTCATGAGCTCTGAAATCTACCTCTTGGTGTAAAAGGAAAAGTTCAGGAAAAATGCTAAAACTCCCAAGCCCTTTTAGAGCACATTTCACCCGTGGGCAGCCTCCCTTTCTGCTGCCGGGCTGGTGGCAGTAGGTTCCAGCCTGCTTTGTCTATTAGCTCTTCAAGGGGATTATGGAAGTTGCCAGTAAATGGCTGATGTCTTTAGTGATTTGCGTAAGGCTGTCACAAAGTTGTTTCAAGCCGGGCCTGAAAGGCCATTTACTTTGCTGGAAGTGCCTGCCATCCGTATCTGTTCCTACACAAAGGAGCAAGGGTGGACACTGGAAAGAAAAGGAAGGGGAAGGCTACTTACGTAGCAGTCAGCCAACCTGCAAACGCCGCTGCCCTGTGTGGTCAGTAGGAGCGAATGCCGCCGATGGCGGGTGGGTGGAGGGGAGAGGGGGCTGGCAGGCAGGACCTCGAGCACCTTCTCTTGAGGCCTTTGGCTCAGGGCTGCAGGTTGTGCGGCACGTGCCCAGCGCGTTTGCTGTGGTTCGGCTGCAGCTGGTACTGAGTCGGTGACCTTGGCCAAGTGGCCAGAGTCTGGCCCCGTGCCTGCAGCCACATCCTCCATGGGAGCTCTGGTTCCCTTTGGTCCATCTGGAGCAGAGCTGTTCAAATCAACTTTTCATCTCTCAGTAGCTTAAAGCCTTACTGTAGCTTGAGGGAACTCTGCACATCCCACATCCTGCTGGGCTCAGGCCGTCATCTGTCCCGCTGTATCCTTGTGGCACTGCATAACGGTGATAATTATGATCGAGCAATGTCACCCCTCACCAAGGGCATCCAGTTTCCAGTGATGATAGTTCAGTCTGTCCAGACTACATCTTGGATTTGATCTAACTTGCTGCTTTCTTTGTTCCAGACCTACTTTCTTCCATTCTGCTTCCAAAGTCCTTTTTCCTCTGAAAACCTGCAGAAAATTACTAACACCAGGAAGCAGTATAACTAGTGAATCCTTAAATAGTCATGATACTTATAAAAGTACTGCCTTTCTATGATGTGCCACTGTATTTGTTGTGACTGACATGCAGTGTAGAGATCCTTGTCTGCCTTAAATCTGCGAACAAAGCCACTGGCTATGGTAGCGTGGCCTTCGGCAGGAAAAACAAGGTAAATTAGGTCATTGCAGCACTCCTTATTTCCATAGCCATGCTACCTCTGTTAGCGCGCTGGGCTTGCTGGCTGTAGCTTTGGTATTTCTGCAGAATGCTAGCCTGCAGCACAGCTGTACCCTCTTTTTAGACTGAGCAGCTCTAGTAAAGGGCTTTATGATGTATGGCAATATGCTACCCATGCTTAACAAATGATAGCAGAAATGAAATACCGGATGAGGAATGTTAAGCTGTATGGGGTGGATGCCAGTCCACAGTCTTGGCCTGGAAAGGCTTTCTCCTTAACGTACTTGAAGGAAGAGGAACAGGTGGTGGTCAAGAAGACGCTCTGGAGCAGACACTGTGGCAAGTCTAACTGTTGGAACGAAAGGGAAAATCTCCAGGAAGATTTACAACTGTTTGGGTCTATGTTTGGAGTGGCTGTGCAGGCAGGCTGCCACTTGCTTAAAAAAGAACCTAAAAAATCTGAGTCATAATTTTCCATCTCCTCTGCAAGTAGTTTTGATGCATCAAACCAATTGCACTTCTCTTTCTGTGCCTTAAACTAAAAAAAAAAAAAAAAGGGGGGGGGGGGAAAAGGAAAA